GCCGCCACGTTTGTTTGATGGCACGTTTGCCCTTGTCTGCCCCCCTCTGGAGGGATGCGCCAAGCCTACCTGGAAGCTCTTGTTAGGAGGGAGCAGTGCTGCCGTGAACACCGTTCTTGCTGTTACTCCTTCCGACCTTCCTCATCTAGTTCGACACGCGGCCCCGGCTCAGAGCCTCGCATGAAAATGGCACGTGATCTCCCAAGGGGCCACGGTCATAGTGAAGGCAAAAAAATCGTTTTCTCCCCCCTCCTGAGGGACAAGAAGCTATTTGATTTGCTGGTTTCAGCCCAAGACCCAAGAAACAGGAGGGCCTCTTGCTGGCGCGTCGTATCAGACGGGACAGTGGTTATCTGAAGGCGAAAGGTTTAAATAAGCAAGATCTTAGCCGTGTTTCCTCTGCTGGGCGTTTGGAGGAAGCGTCCAGGATTGGTGTTGGGACACATCCAGCCGGCGTCCAGGTCCCTCCCCTCGGTTCCTGGGGCCACCGTAAGAAAGTACCACGAACGTGGCGGCTCTTGGGGAGAGTCCTTCCTTATCTCTTCCAGCTTCGGTGGCTGTTGGCATCCTAGATGTTCCTCGTCTTACAGGAGCATCACCCCGATCCCCGCCTGTGCCTTCACAGAGCCACCTTTGGGGGCGGGGGTGGGCTCTGTCTGTGCCTTCTTATCTCATAAAGACACCAGTCATTAGGGGAGGGCCACCCTCATCCAGGACGACCTCGTCTGAACTTAACTCATCATAGCTGCAAAGCTCCTCTTCCCGATTGAGGTCACATCCTGAGGTTCTGAGTGGACGTGGATGTTGGGGGGACGCTGTCCACTCTGGGGCACCTGTCACCGACACCTGAGGCACCGGCCATTGTCATAAACTCTCCAACGCTGTTGACTCACCGAAACCCAGGCAGACACAGGAGGTGGGCACTGTGTTATCCTCATTCCATCATTGAAGCTAATTAGGCACCAAGAGTCCGGTGAGCCATCCGAGGTCACCCATTGGGCAGTGTCAGAGGCTGGATTCACACCCAGCACTCCAGCAACAGATTCTCTGCCCTTGACCCTAACGTGATGCTGGGCCACGTGGCTTTTAGCCGCATGTTTTCACCGTGGGGGTACAAGATACAGCCCCAAATCCAGGATCATCTGTGCTTGGCAACAGGAAGGGAAAACACAAAAGAACCTTCAGAATCTGCTTTTTTCACAGACTTTTTTGGAAGCCTCACCAAGTGACTTCCATTTATATCTCATGGACGAGAACTCTGTCACAAATGAAGGACAGCCCCCCACAAAATGCAGTAATTTTAGCTGGGCATCTTGCAGCCTCAAACAAAATTGGGGTTTCGCTAGGAGGGCAGAAAGGCAGGTGGCCATCAGGTGGGTGACAAACCATCTCTAACACACAGATCAACCTCTGGGTGTGGTTTAGAAGGCCCCCAGTGTGATGTTTATCTGCCTCCATCACCTTCCTCCCCTCCGTGTTAAAGTTAATTTGGAAGGGTGATCGTGAATCAGTGACTATGTTCATGAAGCAGGAAATCAGGATGCTGGAAGGCATGAGGAAATTAAACAAACAAACCCTCTAATTCTGGTTCCAATCCATCAGACCTCCGGATGAGACATCATTCCTCAGTTTTATTCCTCAATCCTCCGCCCCATGCACGTCCCTTACACCCCAGCGCGGCACAGTGCCCTGGACCACCGTCCGTCAGGAGCATCCTTGGAAAGCAGGGGAGTTTGCTTTGCCCACACACGCAGCAGGCTGGATGTGCTGGGGATGGTCGGCCCCGGGAGCGGCTCTCAGGAGGAGCTGTATAAATAACCCAGCTCACTCGCCCCTCCGTGGAACTATTTTTAGGTGTGTATTTTAGGTAATTTCCCTGCAAGGGAATGGGTGATAATGTATCTCCACCCATGGAAATATATAACACACATGGTGTATTTTGCAGCTCGGCTCAGTCCCTGCAGGACCAGCTCCAGCTGCCCACTGCGGTAACTGGTGGAGGCTCGCACGCCTTCCTGGCTGCCTCTTCCCGACTCCCCTACGGACACTTCCTGAACCCCCCCTACTAGGCCTCCCTGCCCTTGAATCCCTTCCTCGACTCTGTTTCTAGAGGGGATCCAAGCTAAGATGGGAGCTGTCATTTTTCGGGCAAAATCAGGACACTCATTGTTTCCTTACAATAGATCATGAGCTGAATCCCAGGAGAGTATCTGTGGCCTCTTACGAGGCCCCAAAGCATGGTCACCTTCTCCCCTTTTTGCCTCCTCCTGGCCTCTGGAGAGCCTGGAGTTCTGTGGAGCTGTGGGGCACCCAGGGAGTCCTCTCTGCATGGAGCATGGGGCTGCCAGTGAGGACTGAGACGGTGCGTTCTCAAGACCTCCCTGCCTTGCTTTCCTCGCTCTGAGGGGCTGGGATGAGGGCGACCCATGGCGGTAAGGCAGCTGAGCTTTCCGGGGTTTGATGGGGTCAGATCATCAGCGCAGCTGTGTGTCACATCTCAACCCAAACCAAGGCGAAGCGGGGCCCTCCCACCACCTCTCGCCTGGAGACGCGCCATTCACCTCCCGGGGAAAGCAGAGCTACACCAGAGAGAGGGCTCATGCCGTCGAAGAACCGGGAATGTGCAGAGAAGGCAGGGGCGGCCTGACAACTCCGTCCCCAATCCCCACGAGGTCTTGTAGGCAGAGCGATGCGTCCGGCCAGAGGCGCCCCCGACATCTGGACCGCACCTGCTCACCAGTGAGTCTGGGGTTGGTCCTCGCTGTGCCACCTTGAATGCATGGGCGCTTTAAAGGCCTTTTGGGTTTTATTGTTGGATGCTGCTTATTGTTCCACCAGGCACGTGCAAAATCATTTTCCTCTTCCTGAAGCTGGTGTCCAAAGTCATAATGCCGTGCTCCTGCTCTGTTCTTTCCTTTGAGATGAGCCAGTTTGGGCCAGAGAGTTAAGCAGTGTTTTCCCACTTCTTCCCACAGTGTGAATGGTTCTCCTGGATCTCTACCCTTTCAGTAGGAACGTAGACACAGGTTCTCCCCCGCCCCCCACCCCCAGAGGCGGCGGGAAGTAGCACCACATTCTGACTTCATCCCTTCGTTCTTTTAGTATGCTTGCGCCCAAAATAAAAGCACATCAGTCTGGGAACTCGGCGGGGGGCGGCGGGGAACAAGCACATAATCAATGGGCATTTAGAAGCTTTTGCATATTGAGACAGTATAAGGCATGGTCTTTGAAATTCAGGAACATTCCAAACTGCGGTCTTTCTTTCAGAATTAAATAATAAAAAAAAAAAAACATATATATAGTTGCACATTCAAATCTAAACCAAATGAGCTAATTATAAGATGAACGAGTCCTATAAAGGAAAAATAAGATCTTACGTAAGAAATATAAAGTTAACATAAGGAAAAGAGTTATGCAATGTTAGGATGATACATTTCCATCCCTTCCTCTGGCATGCTCCTAAATGGGAATTTGCGACTTCACATGAAAATCAAATTAGCAAGAATCTGTGCAGGCCTGGCCCTAAGAGAGACGGGTCTCCTAGCATCCATCCAGGCGTCTCACTTCCTATCACCGAGGGTAGGCCAGACAAGGTTGGACCTACAGAAGAAACTCCACGTTCACCCCGACACAGCCCCCCTCTCGGGGACACCACTGGCCCGCAGTTAACAGCATTGAGCAAGAATGCCATGGGCAAGAATTCGGGAGGCTAGTTGTACAGGGGCTGTGGGTTATATGGGGACTTTGATCTTTGTGTGACTGGGGGAGACAGTCCCTGCAGAGGGGAATGAGACCCACTTCCAGTTCTTGGGGCTCAGTTTTCTCCATCTGAGAAATGGGCTCCTATGATCTCCCGGGGCCCTGTAGGAGGAACGGAAGAAGGAAGCGGTGCGCTGGGGACAGGTGCAGAATGAGGGCCGCCGCTCAGTGTCTGGGACATGCAGCCTGAGGCCCTGCGTCCATGCGCAGGACTAAGAGCCGGAGACCAGGGAGGCAGGCCTGTGGGTTCCAGTGCTTCGGTCGAGTCCTTAGCCACACGTCCTGCAGATAATGACTCGCTCGCTGCGGCTAGCCCTGTGCCAGGCACTGGGGAGCAGAAGGCAGGCCAGCCCCACGGAGCTTACAGCCTGGAAGAGAGGGATTGCCAACCGAATAATTCTAAGACAGCAATGGTGTCGGATGCCCCAGAGGAGATTCTGTGCTTGTGTGTCCTGGGCTCTGAGGGGTCTGGAAGCAAATAACGAGGGCAAGCGGGGACATCCCTGGGGACACCTTGAGCTGAGCGACAGAGGAAGCATTGAGCAGGCAAATGCATGTTCGGGTGAGCATGTGTGGTGTGTCTATGTGGCACGTCTCTGGCTCGTCAGGGGCTAAGCCTGTCACTGGAACCATAGCGGCATATTCCAGACGCACACAGAGGCCGGGACCCGATAAGGGCCTGGAACAGGGACAGGAAGTGAACGACAGCCAGCGCGACAGAGTTCCGAGGGTGAGGGTCCCCACCTCCGCGTGCACCCTACATGCCGGACAGGCCGTGGGTGATGCTGATCTCAGCTGTTTTTAGGGCAGCTTGCTCCTCTGGCCAACAGCTCACGGCTGAAGGTGGCATCACTTTGTGTGAGGTCAGACGGATTGGAATAGCTAACACATGGACTCAGCAGCAGGACTTCCTGGGTTCAAATCCCACCTTCACCGTTGCCAGGCTATGTGACCTCGGGCAAGTTACACAACCTCTCTGTGCCATCTGCAAAATGGAGAGAGTGCTGAGCCTGTTGGTCTGGTCTGGGAAGGAACACGTCCACTCGTGTGAAGCTCCTCGAACAGCTCCTGGCGGGTGGAGAGCCTGGCCAGACTCGGCATGAATCACGAATTTGCTCCCGCTCCTCCCCATCCTGTTCTCCTGAGTCCGGGCGGTGCGGATGCTGGGGTCCCTTGTGGGGAGGCGGGGAGGCCGTCGCACAGGGGGAGGTGTGTGACCCCAAGGTGTGTCTGTCTTCCAGGAGGCGGAGATCCTGAACACCGCCATCCTCACGGGGAAGACGGTGGCCGTTCCGGTCAAGGTGGTGTCGGTGGAGGAGGACGGCGCCGTGACAGATCTGCTGACGTCCGTGGAGTGCCGGTCGTCCGACGAAGACGTCATCAAGGCAAGTGGACGCCTCCCGGCCCCGCCCCGGGAGTCCGTGGCCGTGACCGCTGCGGGTCCTGGGGCCCCTCCCAGCCCATCCCGGTGGTGCCCCCGCTGGTGTCCCGAGACCCTCCCCTGATCGGGATGCAGAACCACTCGGGAGGCTGAGCCAGGTCTGCCACGCTCCTGACCTTTCGTGTTTGCCAAGTGCCTGGGGCCTCGTCCCAGCCCCTGGGAAGGGCGGGGAGGGCTGCAGGGGCCGGGAAGGGGGGCCAGACACAGTCTGGCGAGTGTGTGGCCGTGCCCTGGAGGCTTGCCTAGCGGGGAGAGTGTGTGCAGAGTCAGTGCGGGGGCCGAGCGTGCACTTAGTCACCCGCCCTGCGACTGACAGCCCTGGCCGAGGGAGGAAAAGAAGACTGGTCCCCACTCCCCCCGGCCAACCCAGGCCTGCTCTGCAGCTGGGGGGCCGTGGGGGGCAGCCCTTCATGTACATTCCCTGGACCCCTTCTTTCCTGGCCTCTTCTCTCTCCTTATAATGGGATGCACAGATGAGGCGAAGCCGAGGCGTGCGGGGACAGCGTCGGCGGGGGCGCTCGGCCGGGCACCTTGCAGCACCGCCCTCAGCGGGGGACGGCCTTGTCACGCTGCCACCGCCTGGCGCCTCCTCGGAACCTGGGGACGGCGGGAGGGTTGGAGGTGCGCGCGACCCCTTCCCTCTGGGTCCCAGCAGCAGTCCGAGCTCGGTCACCCTGCTGGTGCTGGACGGGAGCTGCTAAGCCCTCTGCCCTGCCGGGAACTCCAGGGAGCGTGTCCACCCCCAGAAAGCAGTGGACAGACGCCGACTGAGTCCCCACTAGGTGTTAGGTCCTCCACGACGGCAGGACCACAGAGGCACGGCCCCTGTCCTGCGGTTGGCTGGGGAGAAGGCAGAGGTGGGAAGGAAGGCCGGCATCGTGACGCACCCCTCGCCCCTGTTCCAGAATCCCCTCTGCGGGGCGTGCAGGGCAGGCCGGGCCTCCCCAGGGCACACACCAGTATCTTGGCTCACCCTTGATCTCTCTCTCCCCGCACATGCGGTCCTCCAGCAAATCTGTTGGCAGTGCCTTCCAAGCGTGTCCCGGACCCGACCCTCCTCCAGGGCGTCCTGCCAGCCCCCAGCCCGCACTCCTGTCTCTCTCCCAGCCCCGGGCAGCGACCTCCCCGCGGGCTTCCCAGTGGCCTCCTCTCGCCCGTAGTCTGTTCTCAGTGCGGCAGCAAGAGGGATCAAAATGTCAGGCTGACGCTGTCCCTCCTCGGCTCGCAAACGCCCACACGATTCCCTCCCGTCTCGGAGGAGAAGCCAGAGTGATTGCGGGGACACTGAGTCCTGCCCACCTGCCCACCTGCCTGATCTCCGACCTCACTCTTGTTACGTTCCCGCTCGTTCTCTCGGTCCCAGCCACACCAGAGCCTTTGCCTTTCCTCTGACGATTCAGGCACCCGGGCCCTCTGCTCCGAACCCCCTTCCCTGCAGGGCTGTGGGGTCCCTCGCTTCCCCTTCTCCCCAGCCTGTCCTGGGCAGTGTTGGTAAAGTTGTCCCACCGTCTTCCCCAGCCCCGCTCGGTTTTTATCCATTATATTTATTCATGTAAGTTATATGTGTGCAATATATATTCCTGTATTTTCACATATATATTTTTATTTTATTTGGTTTATTGTCTGTCTCATGGGGATATAGGCTCTGGGAGGGCAGGGCTGTTTGGTTCTCTTCCTTCGCCGCTGTGCCCCGTCACCTACAACCCTGGGCAGAGAGTACCCGCTCAACAAATGTGTGGTGAATGAATGAGTGAACAGTGCAGTAATCAAGATGAGAAAGCGTGTCGTTGAATCGCGAAAGCCTTCTTGTGGACATACTCACACCAAGACACTGAGGATGGGTCTGCCCGCGGTCGGCCAGATGACACACAACATGGAAACGCACTGCAGGCCGAGGGGACGGCGGGAACGAGGGTGGGGAGACGCGTTCTTGTAACAGGAGAGACTGCGGGTTCCTGTGAAGGATGTTCGAGCGTGTTCTCACCAGCCTCCATTTGCCCTCCTTCTAATAGCAATGATGTTTTCTCCAGAAAATTCCTCTATGTTTGGCACTTAATCTGTGCGACATAAACAGTGCCTTGTCCACCCCAGCTTCTGATGGCTGGGTGACCCAGGGTGGCCACAAAGCACTGTGTCCCTCTAGATGCCGTCATTGGCTCCGGGAGAGACCGGGTCCCAATCCCAGCCACGGAGGCGCCATCTGGAGAGTCAGGCTTTAAGTCTTATAAAAGAAGGGGTCCCCCTCCTTTTGTTCTGGTTGCTAACCCCCCTTGACAAGACCTCCTGCGGTTACCAGATGGTACCACCTCCAGAAAGGGACCGACAGATAAGCCGGAGCCACTCTGCGGGGAAGCCATGTCCTCACCACAGCACCCGAGAGCCCAAGTCCCTCCAGACCACGCCGGACTTTCCCTGGACGTCCCTGGGAACGGATTCCTTTTGTGCAGAGCAGTCTGGGCTAGGCCTGTAACACCAGTCAGCAAAGAAGTCCACACTTCTAGCTATGCCCTAGGGAGTCCAGATTGACTCCAGTGATCCCGGGACTCACAGAATCACCTGCAGAAACATGGGAGCTCGAGCACATGCACCTGCAGCCCCACAGATGGACACGCAGCCTGAAAGTCAGACCCCACAGCCCACTCGGCTGTCTCTGTGCAGCTCCTGGGATCACAGGTGCTGGGAGACTCCCTGGTATTTATAATACTTCGGTGTCTTCCAGACACCTTTCAGACAGAAAGCCCAGGGGTCCTTGGAGAAGAACCACATCCCCCTGAATGGGCTCCTGGAAAGCCTCTGACGGCATGGTCTGCTTTAAAGCTCCAGTCTTTTCATTTTTATTTGCTCTTTCTTCCTTTCCAACCAGAGGCGGGATAAGCCTGTGTGTTCTGCCCCATCCGTATCGAAACCTCCTCACAGGAAATCCACTGGAAGAGGCATTCTCACTGAAGGCGTGTTACCTTATGCTTCCCAGGGAGGCCGGGTCTTCAAAAGGCAACGATCCCTAATGGATGCATTTCGGATGTCAGCAGTAATACCCGTTGTGACTCTTAGGGGTTGGAAAGAACAGGAAATCCCACCCACACCGACTTCAGTTTAAAAAAAAAAAATCAAAAAATGTTGTTGGCTGATGTAATTGAAAAGTCCAGAGTCAGGAGTCTCCTGAAGGAGAACTTCAAAAGACATCATGAGAACATTCTTTCTCTGCCCCTCCTCTCCCTCTGACTCTCTATATCTCTCTGTCTCTTTATCTCTGTCAGTGTCTCTCTATATCTCTCTGTCTCTGTCTTTCTATTTCTCACTGTATCTCTCCCTGTCTTTCTCTCTCTCTCTGTCTCTGTCTCTCTCTGTCTTATCTGTCTCTCTGTATCTCTCTGTCTCTGTGTCTCTGTCTTTCTGTTTTCTCTCTGTATCTCTCCCTGTTTCTGTCTCTCTGTCTCTGTCTCTACCTCTGTCTCTCTTTCTGTCTCTGTCTCTCTAGCTCTGTCTCTATCTCTCTCTGTCTCTCTGTGTCTCTGTCTATCTTTCTCTTTCTCTCTCTCTGTCTATCTCTGTCTTTGTCTATCTCTGTCTCTCTCTGTCTCTGTCTCTCTGTGTCTCTTTGTGTCTGTCTCTACCTCTCTGTCTCTGTCTCTCTCTGTTTCTCTCTCTCTGTTTCTCTCTGTCTGTCTCTGTCTCTCTGTCTCTCTACCTCTCTCTGTCTCTGTCTCTCTGTCTCTCTGTTTCTCTGTCTCTCTCTGTCTCTGTCTCTCTGTATCTCTGCATCTCTCTGTCTCTGTCTCTCTGTGTCTCTGTCTCTGTCTCTGTCTCTCTGTCTCTGTCCTCAGCCCCCGCCTGCAGACAGAGCTGCTTCTGGCTTCTCTGCTCACAGGCTGCCCCATGGGAGGAGAGGGTCCCTGGGGCCTGGCTGGAACCCCACAGGAAGGAAAGCAGACCTGCCAGGCCAGTCCTGGGACCGGCTCTGTTGGGGACCTATTCAGGGGCCCCCTGGCCCCCGAGCCCAGCGCCGCAGCCCCAGCACCCTGACCCCTGAGTGCCCAAAGCCTCATCACCCAAGCACATGATCTGCAGAGGCGAGGCGGGCAGGGGGGTGGGCTTTGGAGATGCTCGGACCGGAGAGCTTTGGGGGTGAGGGAGTCGCAGGAACGGCCAGAGTGGTGCCGCGGGCGCTGCCCCTCACAAGCATGGGAGAGGGACGGCCCGGCAGGGGTGTCACCCAAGACGCTCTGGTCCCGGGCGCTCGCCGGCAGCTCCTACAAAGACTGGCACCCACCCCGTGCCGCCGCCGTGCCCCGACTGTCCCCCAGGCTGTCCCAGCTGGACCCGGTGAGCCTGCCTCCCCACTGTGCGGTGCCCCCCAGCTCAGGGCCCAGCAGACACACCAGCTGGGAGCTGACAGGCTCTCCCAAGGCTGGTCCCCGCAGAAGGGAGCCGCCGGCCTCTAAGGGGACGCAGGGAGATGCGGGTTGGGCTGTGTAGACGAGCGGGAGGCGGGGAGAGGGCAGGCTCCCTGGTGCAGCGCTGGGTGTGCGTCTGCCGGTCGGCTGCTCCCGGTGGGGCCACGGAACAGAGGGAGCCGTGGGAGCGCACGGAGCCGTCACGGGCGGGGGGGGCGTTCGTCCTGTCGTCACCCCCAGGCTGTGGTCCTGCTCCTCGGGCCAGCTTGGTGGCTTCTCCCCAGGAGTTCAGCCAAATGGCCGTGTAAATAGCCCTCGAAGGAACGGGCGTTAGTAGGGATTAAGGCTCCTCACAGTCCCCGCTGCCCCCTCTGAGGACCTGGGTCCCCTGCAGGGGGGGACGAGCCGGGGAGAAGCAGCTCAGCCGCGGAACCCTGTCACCTGCCGGGTAGGGGCGTGAAGCCTCCAGCGCCCTGCTGTGGGGGACACACCTGTGTGGGTGAACTGAGCCCTCTGAGGCTCCGGGGCCCAGCGGGACCTCCCAGCTCAG